TGGTATACTTTTAATAGTTAACACTCATCCACTATTTCCAAAATAACAAAATGTTAAGATATATTACTATTTGGTTTATTAATTTATGATTAATTAGAATAGTTTATGGTTAGTTTTTATGTTGACGTGTGTTTAGTGGGTAGGAATAGTTAGTACTCCATTTAATTAATGTAGGTTTTCGTCTTTTCTTATTAAATTAAGGATTCTATGGTGTTTCTTATTTTTAAATAGTCATATTGTGTTAGGATTTTATTATGTAGAAAATATATTTTGTTATGGTCTAGTCCAAATAGAATGATAAAGAGGAGACGGAGGCAGAACTGTCCGGAGCCAAGTTTTTCCATACCAAAACGTCGAGCGGGATTGAGTTTAGACGTTTTGGGGTCTTTTAGGCCCTCAAAACGATGTTTTTGCTTCTTTTAAGAAAGTTTTAAACAATTCATAATTAATTCCAGAAAATTCGAAATATATGGTACGCTCGATTACTACCTTTTGTCAATAATCATTTTTTTTTAATTACTTTGAAGTATTAGTTATGGTAAATATATGATTAAGATCTGCCTTGTTTATTAATTTCATTTGAATGACGAGTAGGCCTAAATATTTCGACAGTTTTATTGCAGGAAGGTGTGACGTGTTTGGTGTGGCTTTCGAGACATATAGCTACTGGATGTGTTGACGGAAAAATACGGATATGGAATATTCTTTCGGGGGCTTGTGAAAAAACATTGAGTGGACAATGTGGTGCAATTCAGTCGATTAAAAGAACTTGCGACGGAGATTTTCTAGTCTCCGTTTCAGTTGATGGAACCGCCCGGGTATTTGAGATTGCACAATTCAAATAAGGTCTCGAGTTTTCGACTATGTTCGTACAGTAGCTTAATATATCTCAGATAGCAAATTTTATCATTTAAGGCCACGCTTGGTGGCCAAGATAAACCATTATTAACTAAATAATTGAATTTAATTTGATGTTTGGTATTCCCAATAAATAGCCGGGTCGACCTGTCAAAATTATATAGTCATGGTTTATCTTGCCTTATCTTGGCGTATGTGGCCTTTTAGTGAGTTTTTTTGTTGGACGTCGCGAACTCCAATAAAATAATTGGGTTTCATTAAATTATTTAATCTTATCTTGCCAACCAAACGGGGCCTAAGTATTTATCTGTAAAACAATGACTGTGCGACCAACATTACAGTTATTTATAATAACTATAGCTGCAATAGGTGGAATAATAGCTCAATTGAATCACATAAGCTTATATTTGACATCATTTTTTTTATTCATCATAAATTTTGTTATTCTAAAATCTTAATGATGCTTTATGGAAAAAGCCAATTCTAAGAGCACACTCGCTCAAATGGACATGCACAAATGTACATGTAAAAAAACATGCGCAAAAGTGCACTCGCAACAACGATCTTAAAAACACGAACTACAATACTAGGACTTTCATACGCATCAACAAACAACAGCAAAAACACTAGAAAAAATGATACAGTGGAGTGTAGAAATAAAACTCAACGTTTACGTTAACGTGGATTTTTTTGTGTGGATTAATTAATTTTCTGTTTGAATTGGTGGATTTGGTATCTTATAGGTACAAATCGAAAATTAGGTGTCCAGGAAGCAAAAATGATCAAAGAGAAAGAAACGAGTTGCAATTAGAAAAGTAAAATCAAATAAGAAGAGAGAATCCCTCAACATCTTTGGTAGTGTACGTCCACAAAGTCGAGCACAAATTTCTCATCTGAACTCCAAATCAACTGGTTCCAGCGGCATTAGAAAGATATTTCAGCTGGCTACAATTCCTGTCTAACGTGAAAAATCCAAATTCGGACTCGAACATGGTCAAAATTGGATTCCAAAAGCGATCATGAAAATACGTACTACAATTCGAGGACATGAATGCGCATCAAGAAACGTGCACAAAAGCTCTCGCTAGAAAGATACGCACATAAGTAAGTGTACAAAAGCATGCACAAAAGTACTCACGCAAAAGTGCATTCGCAAAAGGGATCATGAAAACACAAACTACAATCCTAGGACATTAATACAAATCAACAAACATGGACAAGCACACTCGCTCAAATGGACATGCACAAACGTAAATGTAAAAAAACACGCGCAAAAGTGCATTCGCAACAACGATCTTAAAAACACGAACTACAATACTAAGACTTTAATACGCATCAACAAACAACAGCAAAAAAACTAGAAAAAATGATACGGTGGAGTGTAGAAATAAAACTCAACGCTTACGTTTACGTGGATTTTTGTGTGTGGATTAATTTATTTTCTGTTTGAATTGGTGGATTTGGTATCTTAAACATTAAAATGAGACGTCTAAACCCTTAATTGATGTTTGAAATAATACTTTGGTACTTTGAAAAAACGCATATGCTCCAACCCGTAGGAATCAAATAAATTATTTTAATTTTAAAAATGTATTAAACATTAATTAATAGATATATTTGGTCCCTATTCCATAGGAATTTATTAAAAAAATTATTCTTTTTACGTTGAAATTGCAGTTCCTAATTTCTAGGAATATTTGATATCTGGTTTTTTTGGGTGCATTTTTGCATCTATGGGAGACGAAGTATCAAAAAAACTACCTCTTAGGTGCTTCTGTTGGAGAAGAAATTTTGAGTTTTGGGAATCAAAATGGAGGTTTTATCATTTAATACTCCATTTGATTCCCCCATTAGAGTTGCTATAATTAAAGTGACCATTATATTTTTAGTATTTATGTAATTGAATTTATAATATATTATTATTGGGAATTCTAATTCTTAAATGAACAGAAAATCACCGATATATAATTACTTGTTTATAGAATTTTCTTAATTTTTATGGGCCCTCTAATTGTTAAATTTATAATGTGCAATTTATTTTTATATTTGAAATCATGGTTCAGTAAAATTAAAAAGAGTTGAAAGGTCATAGAGTGCGTTTGGATGGAGGGATTTGATTTAGGGAATAGATTTGAAATAACTCCAATTTGGAGTCATTTGAAATCCACCTCAATTGCTCAAGAAACAACTAAAAAGGAGGGGTGTGGATTTGAAATTCATCCCCTAATCCTTCAATCCAAACAAGTCCAAGGAATTTCTTATTATGGATTTGAAATCCCTCCATCCAAATGCACCCAGAAAGAAGAGTTAATTAAAAATTCCACATGAAGTTCGAGAATATATATATATATATATATATATATATATATATATATATATATATATA